AATAACAGCACAGTATAATAATCATACAGTAGGACAGTAGGACGACGCGTTAATCTCGTGTTAAACTCAAACTCACAAAAACAAAACTTATTTTTTTTATATTTTTAGTTATTACGATTTTTGAGAAGGCGATTTGTTAAACGCAGCTTTTAATTTTATAATTTTTATTGTAAAGCTACGTAGACCCGTTTTGCCACTTATAATCCACATAGATGCAAAGTTCTAATCAATATGTCGGAACTGGTCATGAGTACGGACGCTAAATGGAACGCAAGTGCGCCACCTAGCGGATATCCGGTGCGCTTACCGGCGGAGCTCAGTTCAATTCGAGTCGCCACCGAGTGAGGACGTTGTCACGGAACTGCCCTACGTTAGTGCCCAGTTACTGTGCCTTGTGATTAATAAGAAACTCGGTGATTCATTCTAAACGCTTGTCCTATATACACGATACTCATATTCATAATGTGGGCTCATTATGTTTGAGCAACCGGAACATAATCAACTCTCCCCGACATCAGAAGAGGGATGAGTGTTGCCGCCTCCGACATCAGTGTTGGGATGGACCGACGTGATTGAAGATGTTGAAGTCATCGGAGCCGTTTCGTGAAACACTAGCTACATGCAATTACGACAAAGAAAATAGCGCTATAAGATTGGAAGTGCCTCGCTATACATCGGTACTCAATACTGAAGATTCAACGTGGCTAACGTTGAGGTAGCTACCTCAAACCGAATTGGTATCGGAAGTAACAAATGAAGACATGACGTGGTGGCCATGCAAGCCGGAGCACACTGTATGTTCGGCGTCCAGTGCGTGCTCCCCGGCTGCGGGTCAGGTGACTTGGCGTCAGCACAGCCAGCACAGCATTGACGCAGCGTTTGGTGAGTGGCGTGTTGATGTCCGCAGTTGGACTCTGCTTCCATTAGAATGATACCAGGTCACTTTGTTCCTTTTATTATGATTTTGATTCGTCTGATAAGTACTTTATAGGTCAAAACGGGTCAGATTTGAGTTTACCGTTATTAGTTTTTCTATTTGAAATTTTATTTATGTCGGGTACCTAGTTATTTAAAGAAAATAGTCGTGATGAATATTTTGGATCTGAGATTACGCATGATCATTGGTGTTATTTTGTGTATTGTTAGGTAATATCTCAAGTAGTTTTGATTGGTTTTTATTTGGTTGGAGGTATGGTTTCCGCGAGGGAAACAGAATTAAGTGGTGCTCGCTGTCGCGGTACAGAGTTTCGAGAGAAGTAGTCTATGGCAAATAGAGGTCAAAAGCTGCTAAATTTTAAAGAGCCCTCTGAAGTCGTTCATTTAAGATTATTGTTGGGTTAGAGTGAAGTTAAAGCTGTAAGTAAATCTCATGATCGGTTGACAAACATGCTTCCCTTGCTCTTGCCTTGGGTTTGTAATAATTAGAGCTTTCAGTAGTGAGTTAATAAATGTGAGGTTAAAACATTCTGATTTATTTTACTGCCTCGATGGCAGAGTGGTCGCAGGTGCGACCGTAAGGGAGTCTCGGGTTCCATTCCTGGGTCGGGCAAAGTGTTACTGGGTTTTTAACCCCTCGAGCGTCCTCATGAGCACGGTGGATCACAAGAAAAAATGCTCCATGCTGCTTTCTCTTTTATAAAATCTTATTTGGTTAGAATGTAGCCTTAGGGGCGCTATGGCGCGAGGACTTAAAAAATTTTTTCATCGAAAAGGAGAATTCTTATAAGCGGTTGGTTTTTCATTTCTATCTTTTAGTAGGGGAGGTAGGGGAGGGATGGGCACTTTTTCACTATTTATTGCATAAAAAATCAGATTTTATAGATAATCAACTTTTATTGCCAATACTTATTGCACCATACATTTGGCTACATATAATTAAAGAGCTTTCTTCAAAATTACAATCAGTTTCAACATAACGAGATATTCTATAAACTAAGTCAAAAGTGTCCAATGCTCCCTATGGTAGGGAGGCTTGGGCATACCCTGTGGGAGGCTTGGGCTTGGGCATGGCTAATAAATCACTTTATATCCATAATGGAATTCAATGACTAGTTAACAAATGAACTATTATATAAACTATATCAATAATAGAAACCAGAAATAAAAGTTAACAAATAAAAATCTTCTTAAACAGTATCTTATCTGAGATTGGGTATAAAAAAAATTTTCGTTCTTCGTCACTAAAAATTTGTGAGGTTATAAATCTGTGCGAAGAATCCTTTATAAAATCTTGTTTTAGGTACCATTGCAAACTTGATCTAGGGATTTCATATTTATTAGCTGCTGTTTTTATTTTTGATCCTTTTGATACCTCTTCTATGGCTTTCTTTCGAAATTTCCCGTCTGTATACATTTTCGACATACGTTACCGGTATTTTTTTGAATCTACGTATTTAGGCTTGGATTTCAGTTTAATTTATAGATTAGTAAATGAACAATAGATTAATAATAGAAAATACATATTATTATACTTTTCATTAGTTTTCTCTTTATTACGATCCGAAACCGCAACAAAATATTTACTTTTCGAGTGCGTAATCTTCAAACGTGTTTAAGTGTTTGAAAACTCACAGAAAATGACAGATAGCTATGGATGAACACTGTTGCCAGTCGGTAAAGCAAACTACTAAATCAAAAAAAAAAAGAAAACTATGCTCAAATCAGAATAAAAGGGGGTGCCCATGTCTCCCAACTGCCCATCCCTCCCCTACCTCCCCTATACCTAAAGATAAGGTGAATATTATCTGGGTACTCTTGGTATCTGGGCGCTTAGGCTGAGTCGTGGCGTTAGAGTCGCACTCGGAGGAGCTCACTTCCTTCAGTTCGAGTCGCCGCCGAGTGAAGACGATGTCACGGAACTGCCCTACGTGTCGCTTAGTGCTTTTGTAACTTGTGATTGTAAGAAGCTCAGTGATGAATTCTAAATGCTTTTCCTATTTACACGATACTCATATTCGCCCACATTACGTTTGAGCAATCGGAACATAATCATGCCTCCTTCGACACCAGCAGAGGGATGAGTGTTGCCCCCTTCGACGTATATGTATATACATATCGTATAATATTGTATAATATATACTAAACGCCGCGCCCGCTGTGTGCAGAGACATTTAAGAATCGGCATACGGACGTAATAAAGCAAGTCATTTATAAAAATTGTTCAACAAAAATAATTAAAATAGATGTTTAATTATTAATATTTGTAATGTTTAAATGATTTCTTACCTCTGCAATAATGCATGAAGACTAGACATACGAGTAGAACGTTCCCGCCAATCTCTTTGAGCGGTGCACCGCGACGCCGCGACGCCGCGCTGCGCGCACGTCTACCTAATGTTCTATCAGTACAACAAGTGACCGTCAGCTGTTCTGTAGCACTTTAACGAATTAATCTTTAAAAATGTTGTTTATGCACAAATCATCATCATCCGCGCGTTTGTTTCGGTTGCAATGTCTTTGATAGCTGTGTACACTACATTGAACACTTTACATAAAAACAAAGTCACCGACTCAATCACATACGTATTGCATTAACATATTACATTACAATGTCTACTTGACGGCCACGGCCACGAACATTTACGGAAACAAAACACAAGTTAGTTCATAGGTCAACAATTACATCCGATCGAACGTAAGTTGCGCGGGAGAGGGAATGAGGAAGTAGGAAGAGGAAGTGAACTTAAGTGAAGTGATTCGCGTGGCGCCAGGGGGCGGCCGCGGCGAAAGACGGGGTAAAGGGGTAGGTACTTGCGCCGCGGTAACGTTTGGTTTGGCGGCATCGTCTGTCGCTCGCTGTCAAAGCAAGCCGGCGAGCTCATAGGCTATTTAGCAAAATAAAAAAATGTCCTTTAATTTTTTTAATCAGATGTTGTAAACAACTTTGGAATATTGTAGTGTGTGTGAGACACCTCGCCCTATATGTAAGTACTGTAAGTTAGTTAAAGACGCCTAATTAAAGATATTCATAACAACAAGACGTCTCCCTCATTGCTCCACATTGCATGGCGACCCTGCCAGTGCTGCCACGCGGGCAGCGCTGAGCACGACTACAATACCTATACCTGATTTCTAATGAAATGGACCTATTTTGTTGTATTCTGGGTGAATTCACAAGGAATGCATTATATGTAATATGCTATAGGTAGATATTAAGATGAGCACATTTATCGCATTGGGCATTAACCTGTAAAGATAAATGTAAGTGGAAAAATAAATAGATAAATAAAAAATATTGGTTTGTTTGTTATAAATAATAAAGACTATGTATTTCTATAGTTTAATAAATATTTTTTTCTGTGACGTAAATTATATACGAAAACTGTCAGTGTCGTTCTTAGACAAGCTTCACAATTTTGACACTAGAGGAGCTAGTTACAATCTTTGCATCGCTATTATCATCTTTACATGTTTTTGTAGTTACATTGGGATTTTTGGATTTTTTCACTACAATCAAAAATGTAGAATATCTCAAAAACTACTTTTTTACTTTTTTCCGAAAATCACGAGCGGGGACGGGAAAAAATGGGATGGTACGCGTACGAAGTCGCGGGTAGAAGCTAGTTAGAAATAGAACTAAAACACTTTACGCTATGGTCTGGCGGACGAATACTTTGACGCCTAAATTAAGGGTATAATTTTTGTTGTTTTCTTTTACATACTTTCTTTTTATTTAATAGTTTAGCTATGGTCTGTAGTTGTGACATGACAATTGACAATGACAGTACAACTGTCATCTCTCAATCAAACGTGACGTTGACATTTAATGATTTGATGTGATTGCGAGTTTATTTGGTGGCGGGAGTTATTTTTCTGGCGTTGTTTGGTTATTTGTGATAGTTATCGAGCTGAGTATTCGTGTGTCAGTGAGTAGTAGCAGGCGGCGAGTGTTTGTAGTGCTCAGCGAGTGACGGTGGTTCAGTACGAGCAGAGCTTAGTGCTGGAAGCTGTGGAGCCGGTCGGCGCCGGGCATGTAGCGTCCAGTGTCGAGAGTGCTGTAAATGTGTGACGCGGGAGAGAGCAACGCGGCGGCCGTGATGGCGGCGAAGTACTTCGTGTACGGGTCGGGGCGCTGGCGGGCGCTGGACGTGGCGTCTGGTCGCATTGCGGGCTGGCGGCGGCGCGCGCGGTTTGTGTTCTTGCGACGCGGGCGGCTGCAGGTGGCGCGGCGCGGCGCCGTGCTGCGGGCGCTGCGGGCGCTGGCCGCGGGGCTGCCGGGGGCGGCGGCCGACGGGCCCCGCCTGCCCACTCGCAGGTCAGTGTTTGGGTCTCTGCTTGTATCACCAATCTGATATGTTTGTCTAATTGTTAACTCTTGACCCTTAAGAACATATACTACTGTGAGAGACTACTAGACTAGGTAGTGGTGAAGGGATTGTATTATTGTAATGTATATTTATGTTCTTGTAGTGCACTTGTACATTCACATCATATAGTTACTGTGTGCTCCACGTATCAGTCCCTGCTCATAATTATTAATCAACTAGTATGTTGCCTGTACGGTGGGTAGTGGGTGGTACTAATCTAAATATTTAAAACTACCTCTTTGGCCGAGTGGTTGCAATTGCTGCTGGGCAAGGGGTCTGGGGTTCGATTCCTGGGTCAGGCACACTATTACTGGGTTTTAAAAAAAATCTTAGTAGTAGCATGGAGTCTGGAATTGTGTCCGGTTTATGGCAATAGGCTCAGCCCCTATTACATGGGACTCATAACATATATAGTGAAAAGTGGGTGTTACATTGTACAGTGGCATAATGTGCACCTCTGCCTACCCCTTCGATGTTAGAAAGGTGTGATGTTATGTTTATGTAATGTTAATCGAAATATTGATTTATAGCACAATATACATACAAACAAACAGATATCATCATCAAACCACTTACTTCCCATAAATATTTATTTATTTAATATGGGATCAATAATTAACAGCTAAGTTTAAATTGAATTATGGACTGACAGGAAGTGAATATACACAATGGTTCACCAGTTATTTTATGTTTAAATAGGTTATAGGTTTCACGGTGTAACTTAAATTATCTGTACATTTATAACAAAATATCACTATTATGCTTGTAACTCTTTACTGATGTCATAAGGAGTATGAGGAGCTCAACCAGGACACAAGAATGTGTGCGTAGTTGTTCCTTGTATGAACAATATATAATTACTGTACTAGTGACCCGCCCCGGCTTTGCATGGGTGGAATATGCATGTACCTACTATACATATAACCTTCCTTAAGAATCACTCTATCTATTAATAAAACCGCATCAAAATCGTTGTGTAGTTTTTAAGATATAAGCATACATAGGGACAGACAGACGGTGGATAGCGACTTTGTTGTATACTATGTAGTAATGTCCCCCCCCAGGCCGGAGCGCGGCGCGGAGAGTGTCCGCGCAGTACACTCCTGTCCACACCACTGCTGCACGCACTGCCACAGGTAACTACTGCCACTGGTTCATACTGTATTGCGTCATACACTATCTGTGTACTCTGGCCAGTGCAGAACCAGTATAAATTGACCATTGAATGTATGACAACATAATACAAACTGAGAGCATGATAGACTGGTTCCGTACAGGTCACTGTGTAGGCTCCCTAGCAGGTAGTGATGCCCCTTCCCATGGGAAAGTTTGTCTGTCTGTTTGTTTGTTTATTACTCCTTCACGTCGAAACGACTGAAGGGATTGTGGAACAGGGCCAGAGTGTGTGTGTAGCACATGGGCCGCTTTGTATTCGTCGGGAGAATTCCAGTGCTCCAGACGCTAGTTGTTCTATAGGAGCAGCCTTGTGTGTGTGTGTGTGTTGTGTGTGTGTGTGTGTGTGTGTGTCACGATGTATTGATACTATTACAGCGCGGTGCCGTGTGGAGCACCAGGTGCGAGGGAGGGCGCAGTACCGCGCGTGTCCACCGTGACCGCCGCCACGTCACCGCTGATGGCCGCCCCGGCCGTGACGTCACCCTGTAAGGCGGGACCCAGTGTCAGCTCGCCACAGAAAGCTGGTTCCACTGTAAACACGCCCCAAAAGGCAGGGCCCACGAGCTCGCCCCGTAAGCCTGGCCCCGCCGCCGTAAACTCGCCATATAAGGCTGGTCCTGCTGTAAGCTCGCCTCGTAAGCCGGGACCTGCTATAAGCTCGCTGCGTGAGGCTGGGCCCGCTGTGAGCTCGCCCCGTAAGCCCGGCCCTGCTGTAAGCTCGCTTCGTAAGGTGAGGCCCGCTTCAAATTTGCCCCGCAAGGTTCCCCCGGAAGATGGCGAGCGCGCTCAGTATCGCGAGCTAGTGATCTCGGAGGCGGAGCTGTCGCTGGTGCGCGGGTACGTGTCGCGGTGGCGAGCTGGCGAGCTGGCTCAGTACGACGCGGACGAGCAGTACCGTCGCGCCGTGCTATACTCCATCCACCCCGTGGTCCGCCTGCGTCCGCTGGCCGCCGCAGTACTGGCCAAGTACCGGCCGCGCCGCGCCGCCCCGGCGGACACCGACACCGACCACGCCGACGACAAGGTAACATGCTTCCATAGTCTCACACAGACACCTGGCAGACACACGCTCGGGACGCGGGGACCGACACACACTCGTACTGATTGGTATCCAATGTTCTTGTTCTACAACTAAATGAACCAGAAGTACGTTCAACAATTTTGCAGGATCCCCCCCCCCCCCTCCGTCATCGGAGTATGGCAATGGATGAAACCATTTTTGGTTTGTATCACCGAGTGTTGCCAGTAGAGTAAATGATTCTGTCCCCCCAACGAGGGGCACATGTTGAGATGTGTGTGTGATGACTGCGGACGTAGTGACAAGGGGTTGGTTGCAGGAGAACACGGCGGAGAGTACAAGGGAGGCGGGCCCCGCAGCGCGGCCCCAGCTGGCCAAGCGGCCCGGCGGCGCGGACCGCGAGGGCCCGAGCAAGCGGCCCCGGCTGGCGGAGCGCACCAACCGGGCCGCCTCGCCCGGACTGGCGCATGTCATCAGCAACCGGTACTGGCCAGTATACTAGAGAGTGACTGACGGGTGAAGGACGGCGCTGTATAATGCAATGTGTGTGCAGGGCGGCGCCGGGCAAGGAGTACTCGAGTCTGGAGGACCACGCCATCGTGGCCTGGCTCAGCGTCGGGGAACGAGCCACCCACGTCAAGGGCAACGCAATCTGGCGCGAGCTGCAGCTGGTGTACCCGGCGCTGGGCGGGCGCAGTCGGTCCTGGCACTCGCTGCGCAACAGGTACCTGCGCTACATCCTGCCCGCGCTGCCCGCGCTGCGCCTGCAGCCCGCCCTGCAGCAACGACTGCGCGCCGCCGCCGCCGCGGGTACGTCACACCCACCATCTATTTACGGTTCATCTTTGAACACCAAAAGGCGTGTAAGCCTCTCGCCAACCCGCCTGCCAAGCGTAGCGAGTATTGGCAAATCCCCAATGAACTGCTCAGGTAAAACTAGGTCCCCAGTCTCCGGCAGTCCCACCGCTCCTGACTACCGTGGTAGCGGTCAGGGTAACGGTGGGACACGGGGTGCTTATAATCTCCGGAGGTGGAGAAACGGCTCCCACTCCCGACGACGACTGAGGGTTGTACCTGATACTCAGAGTATCTAACAGGTACTCGTTGAAGGCATCCAGGTTTATGCACCGACTTCCACACACCCAGATGAGGAGGTAGAGGTTATGTATGAGACATTAGTAGGGCCATACATACCAATAATACATACTTCAGTGTTGTTGTGGGGGACTTCAACGCGAAACTCGAGGCGATAACGAGCTGAGATCCAATCCAATCCAATTTAGATATGGGCACCGGAACCATAGGGGACAGACAGCTGGCTGCCTTCCTGGAGAAGGAGGACTTGTTTGTGAAGAACTCCTTTTTCCAGGAGCCGTCTCACAGGAAATGGACCTGGATGAGCCCGGACGGGTCCACAAATGAGAACGACTAACTTTATCATGACTACAAAGCGACAGATATTTAATGGAGTCTCATAGCGATCACCGACTGGTCACCGACTGGTCGGAGGCATATTGAACATCAATGTAAAGTTGGAAAGATCCCGTCTGATGAAGTCCACGCTCCGACCTTCAAACGCACATATCGGTTGCCCCGAGAGCTTTCAGATCGAGCTGTCAAATCCATTAGAGTGTCTGGAGAATTGTGAGTCGGTGGACGAGATTAGCAACAGGTCCGTAGAAACTGTCCATGCGGTCGGGTCGAAGGTTTGTAGACCGTGATTGCACCCTCAGACTCACGGCAGAACGACGTGCTATGTCGCTCCAGACCTCCGCCGATGCTAGAGCACATCGGGGGCTCAATAGACAGATATGGACATATGGGAGTCCCTGCGACACGATATCCGCAACTTTAACGTCAATATGGTTAAAGAAGCGATAGAGCGGAACCAAGGCTCCAAAGTGTTCGCTAGGGACGTGTCTATTGGGCAAAGCCAGCAACGAAGCTGAAGGCGGAGGATGGTAGTCCGTGGACAGGTCCACCGTGTGGTGTCGACGAAAGCCGAAATTTAGGGGGAGATCGAGACGGTTTATGGTCAGCTATACGCATCGGTCACAAGTCCAAGAGGAAATGAGGAATTCCGCAAACGAACAAAGGTCGCCAACATAGCGCAACGGATTAGCAAGTTGAAGTGGCAGTGGGCACATGGCGCGGGATGCCGGCGGGCGCTGGGCAGGAACGTCCTCGAGTGGAGGACACGTACCGGCGCAGCGCGAGACGTTCATCCGCACGGTGGACGGACGACGCAAGTAAGGTCGCAGGGAGCCGCTGGGTACAGGTCGCTTACCACCGGCAACTCTGGAAGTCATTGGGGGAGGCCTGTGTTCAGCAGAGGAGTGCATTACGGCACTTAATGCCACTGTACAATGTAACACCCACTTTTTACTATTCATGTTATGAGTCCCATGTAATAGGGGGTGAGCCTATTGCCATATACCGGGTACATTTCCAGAGTCCGTACTACTAAGATTTTTAAAAAAACCCAGTAATACTTTGCCCCGCGCGGGATGATGATGATGAGTGTCGTGCAAACAACGTATTACAGACTGATGTTGTATAATAAATCAAGTTACAATCATGTGTGTACATATTCTGGGAACATTGTCTTGTCTACAACTCGCCTCTGAGCTCCTAGTACGAGTTACTGTTACGTAACGGGACAGAGACGACGTCCTGCACTCTGATTGGTGTGTTCCAATGAGCCAACCAATCAGAGCGCCGAACGCAGTAACGTTTCAATGTCATTAAACGTAAGACAGACTCGTACTAAGCCCTCTGTGTTTGTGAACAACACATCTGAAGAGTTTGTTTGTTCGAACGCACTTATCTCCGGAACTGCTGGGCCGATTTGGATAATACTTTTTGTTTTCATTTCTCTTTAAACTGTCAAACACCAAGCGGTCACCGGTGACCGCGACCTATTGTTCTTTAATTGTGTCTATAAAACCGGTACTCGACGAGTTAAACTGTCAAACACCAAGCGGTCACCGGTGACCGCGACCTATTGTTCTTTAATTGTGTCTATAAAACCGGTACTCGACGAGTTAAATACCTCTTACAAATAAAATTATTACAATACAGTTTGATACACAGGGGCCTTAGTACGAGTTTGATTTTCGTTTAAAGTATTCGAAACGAGTACGCGTTCGGCGCTCTGATTGGCCGGCGACAATGAACCAACCAATCAGAGCGCCGAACGCGCTAAATCAAACTCGTACTAATGCCTCAGATCTGGAGTTCCATACAACAATAGGATACAAAAAGCACTGTTTTTAGAGGTCTCTAATCAGTAGTACATCTACATTAAAGAAAAAGAATTATGTAGATTAAGTTTTTAGAAGTTTTTTACTACAAAATTGATTCAGATAAATGAATTTACACAAGTACTTACAAGGTGACCGTGATATAATTCCCTTCCTAGCGCTGAGTATATTTCTGCTTCATTTTACATTTATACACATTGGAACTGCTATTAAATATGTCTAGTTCATACAATTCTTCGTTATAAGTGTTCGGAGCGGTAGTGCCGCGTTGACGACTGAGACGTGCAGACGTCTTATTTAATTTATCGTGTCACTTATTATTTCTAAAAGTATCTCCATGTTATTTAGTAATTCAGATAATGGATAGATTTGGAAGATCTCTAAGTACGGAGTCTAGTACAGCAGAAGAATTTGTCATGAATAAAGAGATGACGGAGAACACACAAGCAGAAACAATGATTGAAAGAAGTACGATAAATATGGAAGTAGAAATTCCGAAAGGTATTGAGAAAAGGGCGAGGGAAGATAGTGAAGAAATTATCGAAGAAGATGATGGTTTTACTACCGTAACCAGAAAGGTGAAAAGAATATTACGTAGTAAGTCACACAATAACAACAACAACATTTTAAATGATGTGGGTAGTTGTGAAAATAATACTCAACAGCCGGAACATTTTGAGGTATGTCTTACATCTAAAACAGTACTACCGAAAATGGTTGGAATGGCCAAATTATTGAAGTCTCAAAATATAAATGGCATACTTAAAATCAAATATAAAAGTCCCTTCAAAATGTCTATTATACTAAAACATATTGAAGATACTAATAAAATACTTAATTGTGAAAAATTTAAGGAATTAGATTTTAGATGCCAGAGAACAGATGAACTAAGTATTATTTATGGCATTGTGAGAAATATTGACTTGGATTTGGAAGAGACTGAATTTATGGAAATATTTCAGAGTGAAGTTGAGATCTCCGCTGTTAAAAGACTAAAACGATTAGCGGAAAGTGGGCAATGGGTTAATAGTGAAGTTATTCGCGTGGCCTTTAAAGGAGCAACATTACCTTCGCACATATATGGATACGGGTGTCGATTTAAAGTGGAATCGTATATATTTCCTGTAACCCAATGTTCTGGATGTTGGAAGTATGGCCACACAAAACGGTTCTGTCCTACCTTGCAAATAATATGCCCTAAATGTAGTAAAGGACATGATAATTGCAATACTGAAGAGTTTTCGTGTGTTAATTGTAAGGGTCACCATATGGCATTGAGTAAAATATGCCCGTGTATAAAAAAGAAAAAATGATCAGGGATATAATGAGTAAGGATAAATGTTCATACAAGATAGCACGGGAATTGTATATGAAACAATATAAAAAACGAAGTGAAATTACTTCTGTAAACAATGGAGTAAGGGATACGTTACCTACTCCTGCACTACAGAAGGAAAGTTATAGGGATTCAATCACACCCCTGGTACCACCAATATATTCCATGAATGAGTGCATAGATTCTGATGCCTCACTGGATGACGTCAGCGGAGGTGAAAATGAACCTTACCAAAACGTAAGTCACTTAACACTAAATAAAAAGGTAAAGAAAAAACAGATGGAAAAACAAAAACGATCAAAAGATATAAAGAAAAATGAGAAATCACAACAACAAAAACAAAAACGCGATAAAGAAATAATTGAAGAAATTCCTACTAATATGGATCCTGTATCTAAATTGAAGGTGTTTTATGAAAAGGTTAAAAACATATGGTCGGCAGATTATTCAACAATAGAAAAAGTGCAAAACATTATAAAACTGGTTTTAGAAGAAATAGTGGTATATTTTGTCAAGTACTATAAAGACTGCAACATTGTAAGTAAACTGTTTATGTTATTTACTGATGGATAAAGTTTACATTACTACTAATATAAACATTTATCAGTGGAATGCTCAGAGTTTAAAACCGAAACTAATTGATTTTGATTTATTATTAAATAGAAGCAATATTCATGTGGCTATTGTAAGTGAAACATGGTTGGACGCAGGTAGCTGTTTAAAGGTCAATGGGTACAATGTTTATAGAAAGGATAGGTATGACTCATACGGAGGAGTAGCAATAGTTTCGCATAAATCTTTAAAAACGTTTATTGTTCCGATAAGTGTGACTAATTCAGGTATAGAGATATTGCATATTAAAATCCTTAATTGTAAATTAGTTCACAATATAATTTCTGTTTACTGCCCGTCTTCTGTGAGAACTTCGCAATCAGACTGGGAAGATATTTTTTCAAAATTCCCAACAAATACTGTTATTGCGGGCGATTTTAATGCGCATCATGCCTGCTGGTCCAGTAGAAATGATTCTAGAGGTAACCAATTATATGATGCTGCAATCGAAAACAATTATATTTCATTGAATAATGGCGATCCTACGAGAGTGAAGCTCGTGAGTGGTTTTTTACAAAAAACCTCCCCTGATGTTTCATTCTGTACCACAGACATAGCTATTAATAGTTCCTGGAGTGTTAGTAGTGAAAGTTTAGGTAGTGACCATTTAATCATAAAATTTTGTTTTAAATATCCGGAACTACTTAGTATGACGTTAAAGCGAAATTTAAAGCGAGCTGATTGGTGTAGTTATCGTGTCGTTATGAACAATAATTTTGAACGAGGTTTACCACCTTCGGAAGACGTACAATGTATGTATGACTTTCTTACTACTCAAATTATTAACGCGGCCGACGAATCGATTCCATTCATAAAAATATGCAACAATCCAACGCGTAAATTCACGCCAAAGATATACTGGAACCAGGAACTTTCTAAAGTGATAGCTGAACGGCGTTTAGCCTTAACAAAATTTAGAAAGAACCCCGTGCCTCAAAATCTGGATTTACTCAATAATAAAATTAATGAAAGCCAAAAGATGATAAGACAAGCAAAATCTAAAGCATGGCATAATTTCTGTAACAGTATTGACGAGACTACAACTTCATCGGCCATGTGGAGGAAAATGCGCTGGATGAAAGGTTTTAGGCAATCGAAATCTTATTCATCAGACAAAAAGAAGGAAGAACTATTGAGAACATTGGCACCAGATTTTGTGATGACTTCTACTCCGTCTTTTGATTGTAGTGAGTCACCATTAAATTGTGAATTTTCGTATCAAGAACTACAATCATGTCTTAAAACTAAAGATACATCACCTGGTATAGATACTGTTACATATTCCATGATCTTTAATTTGCCCCTTAACTCTAAAATGTATTTACTTAAATTATATAATTTAATTTTTAAAACATCAGTAGTACCTTTCCAGTGGCGCGACATTTATATAGTCCCTATCCCTAAACATAGCAGTACCACTGACGATAAGCTTCGACCAATCGCATTGATATCTTGTTTATGCAAAATATTTCACTCCATGATCCTGAAGCGATTAGAATGGTTCATAGAACATAATAAGATACTATCCTCTAGTACTACTGGATTTAGAAGGGACCACTCATGTCATGACAACTTAGCGAGACTCGTAACCAAAATTCAAATTGGTTTTACTAAAAACATCCCCACTGTAGCGGCTTTCTTAGATATAGAAGGAGCTTATAATAACGTACTTATTGATAAGGTCGTAAATACTCTAAATTATTTTAAAGTTGGCTATTGTATATCTTCTTATATTTGGAACTTTTTAAAAGAAAGACATCTAATCATAAACGCTGACGAAGGTGAGGAGCAACATGTAAGGTGGACTGGTAAAGGAATTGCACAGGGTGATCCCTTATCCCCCCTCCTATTTAATATAGTTACGGCTACTATTTTTCAAAATATGAATAATATAAATTACAGTCAATACGCCGACGACTTTGTAATATATTGTAGTAATACTAAAATACTAGATAGTATAAATAATATACAGCACGCGCTAGATCTTTTTATGTCATCAATACGCTTACTGGGCTTAGAATTATCAAATAATAAATCTAAAATATGTGTATTTTCTAGAGGACATAAAAGGTTCTCAGTTGATATTAAAGTTAACAATAACACTTTGGAAGTAGTTGATCATGTTAAATATTTAGGAATGTGGCTTGATAAATGCTTGAGGTGGGGAAAGCATATTAACGAAGTAAATGAGACTTCACAGAAAAATATTCAGTTACTTAAAGTGTTAGCGGGATCGTCATGGGGCGTACATCCTTCACATATGCGTAGACTATACTTGGCTCTTATTAGGAGTAGAATTGATTATGGTTCTTTTTTATACGATAGCTCTGCAGTTAGTCACACTTATAAATTAGATAAATTACAAAATATTGCTTTAAGAACAATCGGCGGTTTTATCAAGTCCACTCCAATACATGTAATGGAGAGTGAGTTGAGTATTCCTCCTCTACAAATAAGAATACAGTATATTTCTTTAAAATTTTGTTTAAAATTGCAATCCAGGACAAATGACTTGTCCACTAACTTGATTAAAGATCTCAATAACATAATTGAAAATAGGTACTGGACCAGGAAGAGGAAACCGTTGCTAGTTACTTCATACAACATTATAAAAGATGAGGAGATTTCGTCTTCCTGCCCTATTTTGATGTTTACTTTAGATACTTGGATGTCTAACATAAATATAAGGGATGTTATTCAATGTAACTTACTCTGTGTCACAGCTCCGAAATCAAAGTATGAAATTAATTCTTTAAAATATAATACCCTCAATGAATTGCGTGAAAGATATAGTGGCTGGCACGTTATATACACAGATGGATCGAAAACATCAGACGGGGTGGGAGCAGCTTTTTGTGATTTGGCAAATAAATTTCATAAAATGTATAAACTGAATGGCTATATTTCTGTCATGGGTGCTGAACTATTTGCCATTTCCGAGGCTTTGAAGTATGCATTAGAACTACATGTGAAAATGTTGTGATGTGTACGGACAGTAAAAGCGCGTTACAGCATATTTTAAAATGCATTCATAATGGATCAAAGGGTTTAGCCACGGCATACAAAATCTTAAGACAAATTCAGCACTTTAACCAGGTTGATAGAAATATCGTTATCCAGTGGATTCCGTCTCATGTCGGACTTTTGGGTAATGAGGAGGCTGACAGACTAGCTAAAAATGCAATTCAGGGCGGTACACAAATACGGGATTTATTGCCAAGCTATACGGAAATTTTAAGCAAATTCAGAAAATTAAACAACTCATTTTGGAAGGAACATTTCAACGAAAGATCGAAAACAAAAGGGATTTGGTAAAAAGTATACAATGTGAGCCTCCTCATATACCTTGGTTTACCGGGTCAAAATTGAATAGAAGACAAATTGTCGCTGCACTTCGATTACGGTCAGGACACATTCCACTAAACCACTTTGCTCACCTCATGCGAAAATCAGACTCCCCTAATTGTGAGATATGTGGCAGAATAGAAGACGTGCAGCATGTGTTGGTGGAATGTGTCCGACATACAAATAAGAGAAATACACTTCTCAACTCCATGAAACTGTCAGCAATGGATGTTGGAATGTTTAATGGTATTTTAGGTAAGCCTACATCTGAAGCTGCGAAAATTATATATTCCTTTATATTAGATAGATAAGTAGACTAAGTTATTTTGTTTAAGTTGTAAATACATTTGTTATGTAGAAGCACGATGGGATTGACATCGTCACATAATGTGTACAAAAATCCTTACAATAAATGAGATTAAAAAAAAAAAAAAAAAAAAAGTGTTCGGAGCGGTAACGGGATCATAGCGCTATCAACATTTTATAATATTTTAATTAACACGAGTTGTCCCAGCGCTCGATAGATGGCGTTGGAATCGAATTAGATGGCGCTATGATTTCGTTACCGGGATTTATATAGGACTGCGTTCGACAAACTTGTTACTTGTGTATAGTATTGTTGTTCATATGTTCTATTTGCGTAGGTCATAGGTCTATTGTCTGTAACACATCGTATGCTACAGGCTCCACCAAGTCGAAGTCGGGCGCGCGCCGCAACTCGTTGCTGCACCAGACGCCGGTGCGCAGCGCGTCCAACAGAGTGGCCGCTCGTGCCGCCGGGTGCCACACACCCACCTCGCGCTCCAACTCCTCATCGCCTGCAGCCTCGCCCGCGCGCAGTCAGTACATACATACAGCTACATTATTATATCTTGTTCACAAACTTAGGTGACATTGCTAGCTTCGCCCGTCCCGTGGGATATACAGGGTAGTCAATGTGTTATTGAGTCCAGACATACCTACGGACGCCTGTTCAATCCGATCTTATGACGTGATTGAGTAACAGACATACACACAAACTTTCGTATCTATAATATTAGTAAGTTGTAGAAGTGCAACCAGACCTCGACCAGGCATTCGACACATCGACACGATCCCTCGCCTCGGTCGGTGTAGCAAGGAAGCGAGTGTCTGTCTGTGTATTGTCTCCTAGCGCTTTCTATCAAAGTCATACATATACATAGCATCACGCCTTTTACCCCCGAAGGGATAAGCAGAGGTACACATTTCACTTTTCCACTTTTCACTATTTATGTTATGAGTTCCATGTAATAGGGAGTGAGCCTATTGCCATATATGTGAATTATTCCTCGATCAGGCACCTTTTGAAACGTCAAATTGGATTGTCAGTGAGCGAGGTGTTCCACAGGGCAGTACACTTGGTCCAATACAAGTTTGTGTTATATGATTGATGTGGTTGTATTGTGTACACGACGCGGGTGACACTGTGTGTGTGTGTGTGTGTGTCAGGTCCGCGGCGCTCGCTGCGGCTGCGGGACACCAGCGGCTCCAAGGCCAAGTCCCCCGCGGCCCCGCCCGAGCCCGCGGCCCCGGCACCGCCCGCGCCCGCGCCCCCTGCCGCGGCCGCGCGCCCCCAGCGCTACTCGGAGCTGACGCGGCAGTTCGCGGCGCGGCACCGGCCGCCCACCATGGAGTCGGAGTCGTCCGCCAGCTCGACCAGCTCGACCAGCTCGAGCTCGCCGGGCAGCGCCAGGTCGAGCCAGGCCAGCTACAAGAGCCCCACGTTGCCTGCGCCCGCGCCGCGCTCCCTGCCCAAGCGAGCGACGCGCAAGCTGTACAACCCCAACTAGTCGCCGCTCGTGTACTGGGTGCTCGGTACCCACACCGCTGACACTAACATTGTGTGTTCTATCCAAGCACATCGAAGTGAACTTATTTTTATATCTCCAAAGGAATGTATGCGTTATGTTGTAGAGATAAGGTCGATTTTGTTTTGTGAATAATTCGCTGCGCTTCGAGTCCACGCCATCGAGTGGCGGTAATATTATCATACAGTATTCCAACTTCATACAAACGGACGAAACGCAAGCTACATGTCTACGCGCCGCGACCGTGGCAAGCATTCAGCATGATAACAGTCGCGACTGTACCGCGGTGACGGGCTGTGTGTCGTTTTTTAACATTCAAGTACATATTTAATATGGCGAGTAGGATATATTGTGCTGTTTTTGATTATATTTTGTTTGCAAATATTTTCGGTCGCAAATTTATAAGCCCGATTTGATTTTCAAACAATAACATGTTTTTTATAATTAAGTCGACCAATCAAAAAGCAACACGCATGGTTATTGAACACTTCCTATTCCATAGACGAAGTATTTTATTTGTTTGTGTTAAAAAAGTACAAATAAATAGGAATGGAAAGTAGGCAAATGTAACTAAAGTACTGGAGACGGGCAGCACTAACGTATGTCTACGTGCCGCGCGGCTGGAGGTAGTTTTTTTATGGCATAAGCCGGTAAACGAGCAGACGGATCACCTGATGGTAAGCAATCGGCGTCGCCCAAGGACACATGGAACACCAGAGGCGTTACAAGTGCGTTACCGGCTTTTTGGGGATTAGGAGTTTGAGGATCGTTGGGGATTCAGGGATTGGGGAGATTGGGGAAGGGGAGGGTAATTGGACCTCCGGTAACCTCACTCACACGACGAAACACAACGCAAGCGTTGCTTCACGTCGGTTTTCTGCTCGGCCGTGATATCACTCCGGCCATTTAACTGTCACGCGGCCGAGTTACGACTGTATGATAATATTGCCGTGTCTGTGGTTCAGTGTAAGCGCGGAGCGGACGAGGCCCAGCGCACGTCTCCGAAGGAATATATGCGTTATGTTGTGACTATAAAGTTGATTTTGTTTTGTTAATAGTTCGATGCGATTTAACCGCACCAGAGTAAAGCTCGTCTTCACCAACCTCTCCTAAATGTTAAAGAACCCCTAAACCAAGATAGGTGACACTTAACAATTTGGTGTTCAACGACCTACAAGTGACACCTAATAGTACAAATAAGGGGTGAGTTTGAGTGCTTCCTCCCGTTAAGAGATGGTTTAGGCGTGGTTGGTGGACATGGCCGCCAGTGTTATACTATGTGGGGTCGTGTTGTCTGTCTGTAGCGCTGTATATATAAGTATAAGCGTCGTGGCAACACTTCAATACAATCATGTCCTACATTGTATCATGTCTTTCATTTCCCCGCAGTACATATCTATTTATAACCTACTTCAACAATGGAGGTCCTCACTCAGTCGACCGTTACGTATGTAGGGTCGTGATTGCATCGCGATTAGCTGCACCGATTTCGATGGTGATGAAATCAATTTTGAAGTTACCGAAAAAAGCTGTAAAATCCAATAATTATGGTAATGGCGTGTTGACATTTCAAAAACAAAATAAAAAAGTTGATTTTCAAAATGGAAGATAACATTAATGATATATTTTGCGAATTAATATCATCGTGTCTCGTTTATATTATACGAAATGTAAATAATAAACATCCACTTTTATATATGACTAGCTTTTTCCCGCGACTTCGTCCGCATATAATAATGGCTCTAACAGAATTTAGACCTTTTTATTTGTCTTTCCCGAGGTTGATTCCAATGCTGTGTAATAAATCTCAGAATTGATTCCAATAAGTACCTAAGTTATATTAATAGCGAAATGGATATATTTTCGTGATTTCAAAAAACGAACAATCCCACCGTGGTTTTACCACGGTAATGTATAGTAACGGTTTGTATAGTATCCGTTCCCGTGTGGTTTCAATTATAGAAACTATTCTATGTCCTTCCCCGGGTTGCCAACCATTGTTGTACCGAATTCCAATCAAATAGATTTAGTGGTATAAAAGATAGAATCCCGGGATTCAGCAGATACTTCCCGTTATTGTGGGTAACTGGTAGTAATGCTTGTTGGTACCGGTGCGGAGCTACTAGTGTTGCCGGCAAGTATGGCGGCGCGGCACTGACGCCGCGGCCGGCGGCAGCTCGCGGGCCAGCCGCCAGGCGGCACCGCTTGCATTATTACGTTGCGTGATTTAATTATTCAACCATTTCAGATCAGGGTGCTTACTTTTGAAACCGATCTCAATGTCAATGCAATTTCAATCCAATAAAATCTCAATAATTATTCAATGTCAACACTATACAACCACAATCGTAGCTGTTACAATAGCATTCAGAGTACGGAATATAAAGACAAACTCAATACCATTTAGTTCATTCAATATCCACGCAATAAGGATGCAATGGGCGCTAGTGTTGCAGGTCAGGATTCAGGTCAGAAGGCAACTCGCATTGATGACTTATATCTTTAGGATAGTAGGGTAGATGGCTAATTTCTATTTGAATGTCTGTCTGGTAGTTTAATTTAAATCATTACGCACGTATTTTTTATGACTTCTTACAGACACTTGATACTTACAAAAATTAATACTTTCGACGATCTATTGATTTGAAATGTTGCGTGACGTCACTTCTATGTAGGATTTGACATTTCATGCATATTATGTCACATTTTATACGTAGGAATGACGTTTTAGCCCACACTCCTAAACTTTTTCGTTTTATCTAAGTATTGTTTTATTATATTAATATATTATAGGCTCACCCCCTATTACATGGGACTCATAACATAAATAGTAAAAAGTGGGTGTTACATTGTACAGTGGTATAATGTGCACCTCTGCCTACCCCTTCGGGGATAAAAGGCGTGATGTTATGTTGTTTTATTACACAAAAAAATAAAAAAATACGTGTCTAATATTTTTTCATTACCTAACTTACGGACCAATTTCGAACTTACGAATCAATTAGATTTTTAATCTTCATACCCTGTCATCATACCAATTAAGGAGAAGATACATAATCCGGATATATTGCGAGAGGTGGAACTGGTCGTGCCCGATGGATACGTGAGTAGTCGTCGCCAGTCGCGGCTACTGCCAGAGCCACGCGCGCGAACAAGTACCTGCGGTAGGCGCCGCTCTCTGAACCTCGTCGCTAATGACGTGCACATATTCTGTTATCATTAAGAGAATTTACACGAGCAGCCATGCTTAGGATTTAGGTGTATACAGGTATTTCTTGTTTATATATTTTGATTATTATTGTTATTTTAATATTTGCTGCAATATCGCATTGGGTCTAGGTCTAGCCTGTATCTTTAAAGGCTAACTTTGTATGTTATACCTACGTAAATAAATAAATTTTTGTAAATGTAAACTTGCGGCACCTGGCTTCCTGTAGCAGTCAGGTGGCCGGCAGGTAGGTAGGTAGAGGTCCAAATAAAGGACATTTTTTTAGAAGGTAGTTCACTCTCTTTACGCCAATTCCCTGTTGCCCCAATCACGTCCAAGTTTGGGGTAATAGGTACGCTGACACACTGGCCTGAACCGTGGAGTAGCTCTGCCGGCGGTCCGGTCTCGTTCCAAATGCACTTCCAGGTCTTCAGCAGGGCCTAGGTAGTTCCCAGGTAGGAAGAGGTCTGGTTTTCCACTCGCCGCCAGGTAGATACAAGATTAAACCCTTATAATTGTCTATAATTGAAGAGTACCTACAAGTTCACTTCTTCGTGAGCAGTAACACACAAGTTGTACAACTAATTTCCCATTATCTAAAGGAGACTGGCTTTATAGTAAACTAGCTTTTACCCGCGGCTTCGCTCGCGTCACAAAAGGATAAAAAGTAGCCTATGTGACATATACTAATACACACAGCGCCATCTATACCAATACTTTTGTTTTCCCTCGGGAATATCAATTTTTCCAGGATAAAAAGTACCCTATTATTTAATCCAAACTTCTAACTTTACGTCTGCAAAAATTCAAAGCAATCGGTTAGTAGTTACGGCGTGAAAGCGGAACAAACAAACAAACAAACTCACTTTCCAATTTATAATATTAGTAAGTAATAGTAAAGGTCTCGACTCGACGAATTAAAATGAAATACTATGAGTATTCAAGGACTAATATCAGTATTCAGCCATGTGTTATTCATTTGATATATGAAAGAATATTCGTGGATTCATGGATTTCTCTCTAGATTGCTGTTAACTTCTTTGCATACCCTAATGTTAATAATCAAACATGATGTCCGTCGGAGTACATCTGATTGATATTGAGAGCTGTAGTAGTGGGGGGAGGAAGGGGGGGGGGGAATGAAACACGGAGTGGGTGGAGTAGTGGTGTATTAGACGAGCTCGAGCACCTTGATGGTGCCCTGCGAGTTGGCGGCGAGGAGTACGGCCGGGTCCGGGCCGGCGCGGCGCCAGCACACGGCCGACACGAACTCGGACGGCTCCTCGTCGCGGCGCTCGCGCTCCAGGAAGCCGCGCACGGCGTCGAACCGGTAGACCAGCAGCGGGCGCGACAGGCCGGCGTAGTACACGTACAGCGCGTTGTTCTCGGAGCCGCAGGCCACGTAGCGGCCGTCGGTGGCGAGCCCCACGAAGTTCTTCTCGTTGGCGTGGCCGCTGAAGGAGCGCACGCAGCGCGGCGACTCCACGCGCCACAGCTTCAGCGCCGAGTCCGTGGACGCCGACACCAGCGTGCGCGCGTCCAGGAACTTGACGTACGACACGGCCTTGCGGTGGTCGCGGAACACGGCCAGCGGCGAGCGCGGCGCGCGCAGGTCGTAGTAGTGCACGCAGTGGTCGGCCGAGCCGAAGGCCAGGTGGCACGACGAGCGCGGGTTGAAGCGCACGCAGCACACGTTGAACTTGGCCTCCAGCGTCGCCACCGAGCGCTCCGCGTTCAGCGCCCACAGCTTGACGCGCGCGTCGTCGGAGCCCGAGGCCAGGAGCCTGACGTCCGCGCGGTTGAAGTGCACGGACCAGCAGCGCTTGTCGTGCTCGTGCAGCGCGCGCGTGCGCTGGCCCGTGGCGGCGTCCCACACGCTGACGGTGCCCTCGTAGTCGGACGAGGCCAGCACGTTCTTGTGGTACGCGTTCCACGACACGCACGAGATCTTGTGCGAGCACTGCATCTCTGCGCACGGGTAGTGCACGTCCACGCAGTCGCGCACCACGGCCTCGTACTCGAACACCTTGATGCGCTTCGTCACGCCCGCGATGGCGAAGAACTCCTCGTCCTTGTCGAACTCGATGGTGGACACGATGGTGGAGTAGTTGATGGCGTCGCTGCAGTACGACAGCGTCGCCAGGGGGCGCAGCGCGCGGTACCGGGTGAAGGCCACCAGGTCCTCGCGGAAGGCGTCCAGCCCGCGGGGGCGCAGCGCCGCGCGGCTGTCGGCGTCCGCGTCGGGCTCCGGCGGCGGCGGGGGCGCGGGCTCGGGCTCCGGCACGGGCGCGTCGGGGGCGCGCTGGTCGCCGCCGGGGGCGCGCTCCACGGGCGCCTGCGGCACGTGGTCCGCGTCCAGCGCGGAGGGCGCGGGCGGGCTGGCGGCCGGGGGCGCGGGGGGCGCGGCGCTGCAGTCGCCGGGGAAGGCGGGGGACGCGGGGGTCAGCGCCGACGACCCCGGGAAGTACAGCTCGTCCGCGCGGTGCGCGAAGTAACACTGCCACAGACAACATCTACGTCGTACACTCTACTCACATGCCAGTACTAGAGACACTGCAGTGTGTGTGTGTGTGTGTACCTGTACGAAGTCATCGAAGTGTGCGTGCAGTCGTCGCCAGCGCGCCGCCAGCGCGTCCCCCGGGGGCGCGGCGCCGCCTGCAAAGCTCTCGTCGTCTTCTGTGGCGGGGGGCGCGAGGGGCGCAAGGGGGGCGGGCGTGGAGGAGTGCGGGGGCGCGGAGGCGGGGTCCGACACGGAGGTGGCGGCGGCGGAGGGCGCGGGCTCGGGCTCCGGCGGCAGCTGGCGCAGCACGGCGGCGACGGTGGCCATGTCCCGGCGGACCAGCGCGGCCTCGCGGGCGAGCGCCTCCAGCTGCAGCGAGCGCGTGCGGTGCAGCTGCGCGAGGAACTCGTACAGCAGGCGGTGGTGCGCGGCCGTGGACTCGGCCTGCAGCAGGCGCTTGCGGCGCGCCAGCAGGTCCAGCATGGCGTCCACGTCGGCCAGCGGCAGGCGCCGCGCCTCGGCCGCCACGAGCGCGCGCACGCTGGGCGCGGCGCCGGGGGGCGCGGGCGCGGGCGCGCGGCGCCGCGCCACCACCTCGTTCAGCAGGAAGTTGGGGAATATGTGCTCGCGGGACGCCAGCGCCGCGCCGCACTTGGGGCAGCGCCGGTGGAGCTCCACGGCCTGCACACACACACACACATACTGTAACACACACATACACAACACAAGGAGCCCACCGTACAGTAGCGCACGGACCTTGCTGATGCAGGCGTAGCAGAAGGAGTGTCCGCAGCGAGTGACGTACGCCTCGTCGATGAGCTCGAAGCACACGGGACACAGCAGGTCGCAGTCCTTGTCCTCCAGGGAGCCGCCCAGCCCGCCCAGCGCGGCGAGGGGCGCCGCGCCCCCCGCGCCCCCGCCCGCACTCCCGCCCGCCGTCGCGCCCGACATACTGGGCTCTCTGCAAACACCAAACAACAGACTTCACATACGAACAATATTACACGTCAGTGTCACAGACAACAAGACTAACATAGAACACACGGAGGGACCACAGCGCCTTGTATTGCAACAGTTGTCGCGCTTGTAGCTCCGACTCCAGCACCACACAATATGTTCACTCAGTTCTGAGTCTAACAAACTGCTTTATTGCCTTTCTTTCCCTTGACTGGCTGCAGGCGTTTTGAAACCAAGGACGACTGACCACGTTGCGTCATTTGCCGAATGCATGCATCCTTCACCAACAATACACGGCCGACAAATGACAAACACCTGCATCTTGTTTAGGAACAATAATAACTGTCCACGAGGAAACAAGAATGCTAAGTCCGCGCGCCGTTTTTGACGAATACATGCAATTATTCCGTACAATACACTCGTCGTAGGCCTACACAAAACTGCGATGCGATGCGATGCGAATTCGCAACGCAAAAAATTACGATGCGAATTGCTGCGATGCGATTTCGTCAGGCGTCTCCCAGGGTGATCATTCCTTCGGCGACCGTCAACCGTACTAAACGTGACTTAAATTGAAAACTAGGTCGTGACATGGGTCATGAAAAGAAGTGTGCACTTCTGTTATTGCTTAGGAGATACAGGAAAACGAAACAAAGACTTTAGGAAGATAAGCCTCAAGATAAGAATCAAGTCACAAGTTCTTGCGATGCGTAGAGTGAGGTCGCACATTTTTGCGATGCGACGTGGCATCGCAGTTTTGTGTATGAGCCCTAAGGCTTGGGGCTCCGGCTCGACGTGCAGGAGAAGGAACGGGGTGGTTTTTAGTCAGTAAGAGTCTGACACTCCCTTCCGCCTCACCCAGGCGGGAGCAGTCATTCGATTATTTTTCCCGCTTAAAAAAAAAAAGGCTTGGGGTTTGCATCATAAACTTAGTCAAAATGTACTATTTCCCTCTAACTGTAACTTACGCCCGAATACTGAAAGGCTACTCGATAGGGTAGATGCCTAATTTTTATTTTAATGTCCGTCTGGTAGGTTATTTTAAATCATTAGACACGTCGTTTTTATTTTCTTACATAAACGAATACTTTCGACGATATATTGATTTGAAATGTCGCGTGACGTCACTTCTATGTAAAATTTATACGTAGAAATGACGTTTTAGCCCGCATTCCTAAACTTTGATTCGTTTTATCTAAGTACTAGCTTTTACCGGCGGCTTCGCTCGCGTCACAAAATGATAAAAAGTAGCCTATGTGACATATACCAATACATACAGCGCCATCTATACCAATACTTTTGTTTTCCCTCGGGAATATAAAATTTTTCCGGGATAAAAAGTACCCTATTATCTAATCCGGACTTCTAACTTTACGTCTGCAAAAATTCAAAGCAATCGATTTAGTAGTTACGGTGTGAAAGTGGAACAAACAAACAAACAAACTCACTTTCCGATTTATAATATTAGTAAGGATAGTAAGTATTGTTTTATTAGGGGGCGTCCATAAATTACGTGAGATGTTAAAGGGGGGAGGGGGTAGATTTAGTCTCATCTAATCTTCCTCTTCCTTCCTTCCTTCTCGGCAAATATCACGCATTTTTTTTTCTGATAGAAACAAAAAAATATATACTATTTTTACCGACTTCATAGTTCATTTATTCCAGATTGTACATGCTTAAGATTTAATTGTACATGCACATGGATTTTCTTCTTTTTGCAATAACAATTCCACACGTTTACGTAAAAAACCAACATTTTGAAAGTTTAGTAAAGTGTTTGTAACAATAGGTTAATATAAGAAATGGGGTATTATTATTGGAAAAATATTGTAGAAACTGTCATCAATGTAAGAGGTTGGGTAGTTTCTAAATGCTATGATGCATGCTTAGAGCTTTAAATCTACGCAACGGATTTTGATGCGGTTTTTTATTAATAGATAGAGTGATTTTTGGAAGGTTTATATGTATCTTGCATATTGCACCAGCGCGAAGCTGGGTCGCGTCAATGGTTAAAAATAAATTATTTTGACTTTTGATTTCAATGAAACTTTTAAAAATATTCACTCTTTAACTCTTTGATTACCGTCATTATAGACACAATTAAAGAACAATAGGTTGCGGTCACCGGTGACCGCGCAGTGTTAGACAGTTTAATTAATTGACTAGATGTGCCTGCTACTTTGTCCGTGTGGAAGAATGATTTGATTGAAGAAGACAGTTCCTCTCCTGTAGGTGATAGTGTGATAATATATAGTAATTTTTATGCACAATTTGAAGTAAATCCATGCAGCACTTTTTAAATTCATTCCAGACATCATACAGGTAAAGAGACGAAAATTCTAAAAACCATATTTTTTTACTTTGCTTGATATAATGTAGATAACGACTCGAGCACTCTTTTAAAAAAATATTAAAATGTACAGTTATCACTTTCCTACAATTTTATTATAATTATGTATAGATTTGATGACACATAATTTTCATATTTCTTTGATACACTTTAAACAGTGTCTAGTGCAAATTGACACAAAATGTGTATTGTGAAGCCATAAATTTCCTAAAACTTTGACATTTCAAAACTAACTGGAAAGTAAACTATATGCGGGGAACATGTTCTCTGACCACTTGTGTTATGTTTATATAGGTACCCACATTTATGGACAAACACTAATATTGCACATCAAGACAATTTGTTTTGTATGTTTGTAACAGACACACAAAAAGAAAATAAGAAATAAATCCTACTAACATTATAAATGCAAAAGTCTGTATGTATGTTTCTTACTCCTTAACATCAAAACGGCTGAATGGAGCCAGATGAAATTTAGACCAGGCTTAGATTATGGTCTGGATTAACACATAGGCCACTTTTTATAACACAGGAATGCAAGCGACGCCACTGGCAGAAGTAAGTATAGTTTAAAAATAATACTGCTACCACAAATCTTATGTATTCAGTTATCAGTAATACTAAATATTTCATTAACAAACTATTTATTAAAAAATGTTGCACAGTTTCAAACCTGCAGGCGTGGACCAACTTTAACATCATTTGTATGGAGCTTCAAAAATCAATCTTAACTTACAGATTTCAGATTAAAATAGGTTATCGAAATCAGCTGTTAGTTGCAATAAACACTTGAAAAAAATTCATTTTTTTCTTCTTTGATGGCAACTGAGTCTCAAAAACAGTGCACAATAATGCAACAGCCAACAGTGTTGTGACAGAGAAAATATATGTAAATAGTATTCACCCAGAAAGTGGTCTCCACATATTGTGATGGGAAGTGCAGCACACAAGAATCTAAACTGATTGATGAACTTACATCTACCTACATTGTACCGGGTGACAGTAGACATTCTACATGTACAGCTTGTCACAGCTGGCTGTGTGTGTGGCCGCTCTGTTTACAAACCATTCACACTCACACAGCTATTTAAAAAAACAGTTGACTGTGCAGTTTTACACAAATGTGCACAGTCAGCATGGCAGTGTGTACACATAGTCCGTATTATCTACTGTACACTTATCAGTCCACATATCTATGCTTCAGGCCGCGGCGCGTGTTATCAATGTGTTGTGTTGGTCACAGCTCACAACTGACTACTGGTTTCTTTCAACATGTTGTGATTTTGTCTGTAATGGGCAGTGACACGTGAAGCGAGTCCAGCGAGGCGCAGTCTGCGGGTACAGGACCTCGCTTTGAGTGTTTATTTATACGCAACAATCGATATCCACTGACCGAAACATGCACAATTATATACAGATGACCTATATCCAGCAGGAGTGGCCTCACTTACAATTCACTGTTGGTAAAGACGAGTGTGATGACCGGAGGAACATGCTAGGGCGCACGAGACGCCCGCGGGCTGATGCTGCTCTCCGAACCAGAGCCTGCTGGCTTGCGACTCCGCCCCGGCTTGGCTGCGATAAAGTTCTGCACCACTTGTTTTGTACGCTTAATTTACAGTTTACACTTAATGTTTCATTCACTACACACGAATCAACACCAAACCCCATCGTTTGAAATCACTATTTTATTCATTTTACTTCGATTTATAACAACACTCGCGTATCTGAGTACACTTTGACGAGTTTGACATCCGACAGACTGAAGTTGCTAGCAGAAAATAGTACGTGGATATTTAGGTCAAACCGGGCTGACTGAGGTCAAGGATTTGCTTGATAAATACGACCATGCTAAGAAAGTCCATAATTAACAGAAATTTTAAAAATTAACAAGTATTACCTTTATTTGTTTATATTTCAAATCATCTATAAAATGTTATAACTTTCTAAACAAGAAAATAAAACTAAAATAAATATTTCAGTGGCGACATCTAGTTTCAAATTCAACAATCGTACCATAGAGCAGACTGTTGGACCGACATAATATTCACTATGAACTGTTTGACTGACAGCTAAAACGCCATTTTGCTATTATTACAGAAGGTTGCATTATCTGTTCGTCAACAATGTAAAGTGAAATGTTTGCTGGATTTTTACAGTGAATGTAATGTGAAGTGCTATTTTAACCCTCAATTTCTAAACTAGGGTTATGGAGGAGTCCAACGACGAGCTCAGGGTCGTTCCCGGTAAGCGTAATTCCTAGAAAATATTGTTCGAAAATAAGAGTGATTGTCTTGCGAGGTCGAGTAATGTTAGCTTTCCCGATTTCAGAGCTCTACTTTCTGATAGCGAAATTTCTATCGGGCGGACCCCTGAAGGAGACTGCAAAGGTAAATTGGCTCAGAATGTGATCAGAGAGATGTTTTGTAAGATAAACGACCTAACTGTGAGTGTTTTTTTTGCAGACTTTGCTAAAAGAGCTCGAGACTATAGAGGTGAGTTAAAGCTTTTCCTAGTGCCGGGTTTGAGCTTATATTGTTGTTTTGGTAGCGGACGCACGTGGCTGTGGCTGTCAAACTCGCTGAAAGTTGCGTGAAAAGTTTTAGTACAGCTCGCGGTGTTGCAGGTGCTGCCTCGGCGACTGGACTGGGAGGGACACGAGCACGCCCAGTCTTACGATGAACTGGTGAGTTTGGCAGAGTTTAGCGCCCAAACTTTGTTTATTTACGTTTTGTGGCCTGCATAACTTATTGGAATACATTAAATTGTTGAAAAACGACAAAATATCTCAATTTATATTATGCATCAATTTGACCGTCTAAATACGGTGGAAGAACGACAAAAATATTTTTATGGTGTTTATGTGATAAAATTAATGTTTTTGGCTAATTTGCGAAAAAATGTTATATCATGTACTATCGAGAAGGAGCAGTGTCGTAATTATAATGCTCTCTATCTCGTTCCGTCACACGCGCTCGTGGCTACATGGCATGTTCTGTCTCGCTCTATCACTCGAGTGCAGCAGCGCTCAAACGCTATTAGCCGTCGCGGGGCCGACGGCGGCCGATTACGCACGAACCGCGGTGACGTGTGGTGCCGCCATCTTTGAATGAAATGCTCTGCGAACATATGCCTTGCACAATGAAATGCTACTGATTGCTTTTTGAATGATTTCTTAATGAGAAATTAATTAACTTACCGAGTTAAACACAAATACTGATGCTTCACTGGCCGACTGGTCGCAAGTGCGACTGCTGGATAAGGGTTCGATTCCCGGGTCGGGCAAAGTATTACTGGGTTTTTCATTAGTAGCACGGAGTCTGGAAATGTGCCCGGTATATGGCAATAGGCTCACCACCTATTACATGGGACTCCTAAAATAAATAGTGAAAAGTGGGTGTTACATTGTGCAATGGCATTAAGAGCTGTAATGTGCACCTCTGCCTACCCCTTAGGGGATGATGTTATGTGTTAGGTTGTGATAAACACTTACAGTATTGACATTTTTGATAGACATTATTTAGTTATGACGTGTTATTATACAAACATAATGTTAACTGACAGGTTAATAGGAAAATGTAGTTGACACTTTAACTTTTGAGCAACTTCTGGGATTTATAATAACAGCTGGAGCACAGAGATAATATACTTACACAATGGGGTAGTTTACAGGGTATCAAAATAAGTTGCAATACTTAGATAAAATGGCGCTAAGTGTAGGAGTGTTTGAGTGTGTGAGTGTGTATTGTTGTAAATAAGTAAGTATGTCAGTTACTGTAATTGGCTAGTTTCCGAGATTTAAAATAAATTGTTCAACTTTTGAATGCAATAAATTTAAGTTTAAAAATAAATAACATAACATATCACGCCTTTTATCCCCTAATGGGTTAGGCAGAGGTGCACATTACGGCACTTAATGCCACTGTACAATGTAACACCCACTTTTCACTATTTATGTTATGAGTCCCATGTAATAGGGGGTGAGCCTATTGCCATATACCGGGCACAACTCCAGACTCCGTGTCACTACTGAGAATTTTTTAAAAACCCAGTAATATTTTGCCCGGCCCGGGAATCGAACCCGAGACCCCTTACCCAGCAGTCGCATTTGCGACCTCTCGGCCAACGAAGCAGTCATTAATAATAAAAGATAAAAAAGTGAAAATAAATAATAATATTCGTAAAAATATAACAAGTTTTGCACATGTGATCAATGTAAGACACAGACACAAGAAATCACTATCACTACACAGTATAAAACAAAGTCGCTATCCGCCGTCTGTCTGTCCCTATGTATGCTTAGATCTTTAAAACTACGCAACGGATTTTGATGCGGTTTTTTAATAGATAAAGTGATTCTTAAACTGTCAAACACCGCGAGGACACCGGTGACCGCAACCTATTGTTCTTTAATTGTGTCTATAATGACGGTACTCAACGAGTTAAGGAAGGTTTATAATATAAACCATATTATGTATAATACACGCATAATATACTAGAGAACACGGATAAATTTAGAGGTTTCTAATGTGATGTCGTAAATAAGCACGTTTTTTTGCGGTTATATTGCAAACGCTGGCTGTACCCTACGAGATAGACCAAAATAATATACTACAGTATTGACCACCTTAATTGTCTAATGACAATAAACCTGTGTCCGTGGTGTATAAGGACATTCTGTAGTAGGTACATTTACATTAGTATTGCGTGCACCCGTGCGAAGCCGGGGCGGCGAAAAATGACTTCTAGATATCATATGTCTATGGAACCCCATTGCCTGTTGCCCGTGGCTTCGTCCGCGTAGAATACGAATTTTGGGACATAGTTTTTTTTGTTTCTATAACCATAAACGACTTATTTAAAAAAAAAAACGCTTTAAAAGATCCAAAACTCCAAGCAGAATTAGATAATAATGACATGTGTATGTCGCGTTGAGCGTCGCGCGTAACATATTCGCCGACAGGCGCGTGTAGTCTACTCAACGACTGCACCGGAGCCTAAACAATTGTAATTTATGGATTGGAGAGAGCGCTTCAAGCAACAGAATAGTTTTTATTTCACTCCTAAAAAGATAGTGACAGGCTACTAGAAATTAGAAATAAAAATTAAAAATTAAAGAAATTAGAATTAAAAATAAAAATACGAACAAAAATGTATTAACCGCGGTCGATTCTACTACGCGCGCGCGCTTGAAGGTTAAGAAATAAATCATAATTTTGTAAAAATTCTAGTGTCAATCAGGAACATTGATGTTATCTACGGAGCTCGTGTGGGGCACAATGACTACATGTGGAGGTCATACATGTCATTCTCAGTGATACTCCATGTAATGTATAATGTCTGTAGTGCAGTATATTACGCATGTGTGTGTGTGTGTAGGCTTCTCAACATGCTGACGTATCGTGGCGCCGCCTGGCGTCAGTCTGCGAGCGCGCTGTGGCACTGGCGCGGCTGGCGCCCAGCCAGGCCCCGGGCGGGGGCCCGGCCGGCGCCCCGCCCCGCATAGCGGCGCGGCTGTCGCTGCTCAGTGAGACACTGGTGCGCCCCCGGCCGCGCTACGCGTCCCACATGACCGACCACAGCCTGGTGCGGCGCCTGATGGCGCGCGAGCTGGGGCAGGGCGCGGCGGCGGCGCCGGGCGGGCGCGGGGGCCCGGCGCTGTTCCCGCCGCGCCTGCTGGCCGGCCTGCAGCTGCAGCGGCGCACGCTGGGCCACCTGTCGGCCGTGTACTGCCTGGTGGTGGACTGCTCGGGCCGCTACGTGATGACGGGCGCCGACGACATGCTGGTGAAGGTGTGGAGCGCGCTGGACGGGCGCCTGCTGGCGACGCTGCGCGGCGTGGGCGCGGAGGTGACGGACGTGTGCGTGAGCGCGGACGGCGCGCTGCTGGCGTGCGGGTCGGTGGACCGGCTCGTGCGCGTGTGGTGCCTGCGCTCGGCCGAGCCGCGCGCCGTGCTGGCCGCGCACGCCGGCACCATCACGTCCGTGCACTGGGCGCCGCCCGCGCGCCGCGACGTGCGCTGGCTGGCCTCCACGTCCACGGACTGCTCCGTGGCCTTCTGGACCTGCTCCCCGGACGGCCACTTCCTGTCGCAGCCGGTGCAGTACGTGGAGCGCATGCGGCCCGGGGTCTGCCACATGATTTGCGCCGCCTGGTCCGCCGGCGGGGCCTTCCTGGCCGCCGGCAGTGCCGACCACCACGTGCGCATCTACACCGTGGAGCACGAGCCCGGCGGACCCAAGCGGGTCAGTACCCACCACACGACTCGTGCAGGTGTCCCGGCTCTGTACATTGTACGTGACGCATTGTCTCCCCGCAGGTGCTGGAGACTCCGGTCCACGACGACGCAGTGGACAGTATCGCGTGGGCGCACCGCGGCCTGCGCTTCGTGTCAGGCAGTAAAGTGAGTAGTGTACTGTAGTGTACGGCAGTGTACGGCAGTGTCCGTGTACCGTGGCGGGCGTGTATAGACGGGCCGTTGCAGGACGGCAGCGCGGCGCTGTGGACGCTGCACGCGACGCAGTGGCGCCACGTGCTGCTGCAGCCGCAGAGCGAGGCGGGCGACGGCAAGCGGCTGAAGATGACCATGGTGTGCTGGGACCGCTCCGACGCCTTCGTGCTGACGGCCGTGTCGGACCACAGCATCCGCGTGTGGTGCGCGCGCTCGGCGGCGCCCGTGCGCGCGCTGCGCGGCCACCGCGACGAGGCCTACGTGCTGGAGGCGCACCCCTTCCTGGCCGGCGTCTTCCTGTCGGCCGGCCACGACGGCCAGCTCTTCGTCTGGGACGCGCGCGAGCCCGAGCCGCTGGCCGCCTTCCACAACCGCATCGAGGGCCACGGGGACGGCGCCATCTTCGACGCCAAGTGGGGCGGCGGCGCCAGCGTGGCCGCCACCGACTCGCACGGACACCTGCTGCTGCTGGGCCTGGGCCGCGGCCATCGTCTGTACGGGGCGCTGCCGCCCGAGCTGTTCTTCCACACGGACTACCGGCCCGTGGTCGTGGACGCGCAGGGCATCGCCCACGACGAGCAGACCGACACGCCACCGCATCTTCTGCCGCCGCCCTTCCTGGTGGATGTCGAGGGTGCGCCACACCCACCAGAGTTCCAACGCCTGGTGCCAGGGCGCGAGCACCTGGCGCTAGCGCAGCTCATCCCCATGGCGGAGGCGCCGCGCTCGCGCATCGACGCCATGATCGAGGCGCTGGCCGGCGCCCGCTCCCCGCGCGGCGTGTGGCGCGGCGAGGGCGTGCGCTACACGGCCGGCTCCTGGCAGCGCGGCGAGGCGCCCCCGCTGGCGCCGCGCGCCATCGTGGCGCCGCTGGCCCCCGCCGTCAGCGAGCGCCTGCACCGCGCCGCCGCCGAGCTCAACGCGCTGGAGCAGGTACCACTCGCCGCGCTCCCTAGCGACACTGTTGGGCAGCGTGGCGGTGTCTCACTACGTGACCACTTGTCCCTGCAGGCGTGGTACCGGCGCGAGATGCGACGCCGTCCGCTCATGATCAGCACGGCCCCCGAGGGCGCGGGCCCCCGGCGGCGCGCGGGGCGGCGCCCCCGGGCCGCGCCGCGCTCGCCGCGCACGGTGCCGCGCGCGCCCGACCCGCCGGAGCCCGAGTCGGCCGCGTCGTGCAGCGACACGTCGGACGAGTGGGTGCAGCGCGCCCCCCGCGCCGCGCGCTCCGCCCGCTCGCAGCGCTCCGACGGGGACACGCAGCACTCCAGCCTCGACCTCACGGACTCCGACTCCAGGTGACTAGCGATGCATGGCGATGCGAGGCGACTCCGTGTCCGCCGGCTGTAGGCAGCGCGCCATGTCTTACTAACTTGTTCACTTTGTCGCAGCTCGCACAACTCGGGGAGCAAGAGCGACAGGTGCGTGCCGCCATCTTGTCACTCACTCGAGCTTCGTGTCTCGCTGGATGCTTGTGACTGAGTGTGTGTGGGGAGGCTGCGCGGTACAAGTGTATTGTTGTGTTGCAGCTCTTCGTCATCGTCGCAGTACTCGGACTGGGAGGCAGGCGCGGCGCTGGCGCCCCCTGCGCGCGCCCGGCGGAGGCCCCTGCCCACCAACCGGTACGTAGCCTGCCCCGAGCCGGGCCCCGGCCGCGGCCCCCGGGTCCCGCGGCCGGTGCCTCACCCCACGGCCTGCAGTTACAGCCCCTCGGTGACCAAGCGCGCCGCCCGCGGAGCCCCGCCCGCCGCCGCCAGCGCGGAGCCGGACGCCGCGGGGCCCGCGCCGGCGCCCCCGGACGACCTGCCGGACGCGTACCGGCCCGGCGACTGGATCACCGCAGTCATGCCGCGCAAGGCGCCGTACCACCCGCAGATGGGCGACGAGTGCCTCTACTTCCGACTGGTGAGTGCTTGTACATACCGCGGCCGCTACCATGCGCCGAGTACTGCGCGGTGTCTGAGTGAGCGCGTGTACAGGGCCACCAGCGCTACTTCGAGGCGGTGTCGGAAAAGGACGTGTACCGCGTGGCGGCCCGCGACCGGCCGTGGGAGCTGGCGGGCGTGGGCGAGGTGTACCCGTGCGAGCTGGTCAAGGTGGTGGGCATCAAGTACGTGATCCGGCCGCCGCGCCTGGCCTGCCTGCGCCTGGCGCGGGCGCTGGCGCCGGCGCGCGCCGGGCTGACCGTGCGCTACCACGACATGCCCGACGTCATCGACTTCCTCGTGCTGCGCCAGCAGTACGACGCGGCGGCGGCGCGGCGCTGGGGGCCCGGCGACCGCTTCCGCTGCATGATCGACGACTGCTGGTGGGCCGGCACCGTGCTGGAGAGCTCGGCGGAGGCCTCGCCCCCGGACTCGGGCTGCGCCGCCGCGCTGGCGCCGCCCGAGGCCGCCGCCTGGGCCGCCGCCGCCGCCGAGCAGTTCCTCTCGTTGCGGGTTCGATGGGACAACGGAGAGGTGAGCGACACACTAACTCTTTTTTCTTTTATTCTTTCTTTTTCTATCGGCGATCAGTCGCAAGACTCAGTTTTTGTGGCGATTAGGCGAAGAGACCAGTGTCCCTTCTATCTTTTCAAAGCACGTTCCTCCGCTTCAGCCTGTTCGCAGTGAGCGTCGGTTTTGAAAGTTCATTGGCGAGTGTTCGGATACCTCGAGAGCCGTTCCGCATATTTCCTCTTGAAATTGTCAATTTCCGATTGATCAGTCGGAGCGTTGAGGTATTCGTGTATTTCCGTGTTCCTGGAGCACCACGGAGCACCTGTGATGGAACGCAGAATGTTGTTGTGAGCTCGTTGGATGCACATGATGTTGCATTTACTAGCGGTTCCCCACGAAGGGATGCCATAGCTCCAGATAGGCTCCAACACGGCGTTGTAAGTCAACAGTTTGTTATCCACTGAGAGGACTGAGTTTCTTCCCATGAGCCAGTAAAGCTTCCTAAACTTATGATATATTTTCATCTCGCTTTTTATTGATGTGGTTAGCCCAAGTAAGCCGTCTGTCCAGATGGAAGCCAAGATACTTTACCACTTCAGAATCAGGCAGCAGGTCGTTGCCAAATTGTACAGGTTGGCAGTTATCTCTTCTCAATGTAAATGTGATGTGGTTCGATTTCTGAGCACTTGCCCGAATGCGCCACCTTTCCATCCATGAGTATGTCTCGTCTAGTAGGTGGTGGAGTTTACCAGTGGCCGCTGATGGGTTATCATCACTAGCGAGGTAGGCAACATCATCTGCATATGTAGCTACGGTGAATTCCTCAGAGACAGGTAAATCCGAGGTGAATATGTTGTATACCACAGGGCCAAGCACAGAGCCCTGCGGGACACCCGCAGCACCTGCGGCTTTCTGCTTTATCTGAAAGAGTCTGTTTTCTAGGTAGGAGCCAATAATGAGGTAGAGGGAATGAGGAAGTTTCTCTTTCACTTTGCATAGCAACCCTTTGTGCCAAACTTAATCGAATGCCGGTTGTACGTCGAAGAATGCCGCCGAGCAGTACTGTTTCTTCTCAAAGCAGCATCTGATGTCATGGTGGACCCGGTGCATCTGCTCTATCGTGGAATGATGTTTCCGAAATCCAAACTGGTGGCCGGGAATAACATCACACAGGCTCATATGCTCCCTCAGGCGAACCAAGAAGATCCTCTCCCATAGTTTTGAGAGAACAGGTGTAAGGCTAATGGGACGGTATGACGAGGCTTCGTGTGGAGATTTGCCAGGTTTAAGGATCATAATGATCTCCGACACCTTCCAGATTTTGGGAAAGTATGAGAGTCTTAGTGCGGCATTGAAGAGCGAGGCAAGAAATGTAATGCACTTTCTAGGCAGATTTTTAAGATAGTCTGGGTGATTAGGTCGAAGCCAGGAGCTTTGATTGAGTTCAGCCTCCTGATTTCGCTAGCGATTTCTTTTGGTGTATGCTTAAGTGGCAGGCATAACGGATTAGTGTTATTGTTTTATTGAGATTTTATTTCTTTTGGTCCAGGCAGTTAAGCCAAGGCCCCCAGCCTCACGAGACGTGACCGTAAGGACCGAGTTGTTGAGGTCATGTCGTACCATCAACAAGGACAAGTGTGTTAAGCTTGTTGGTTCGGGTTCATTTCCATCGCCCGAAGCTCGGAGTTGTTGCTCATTTAGCACCACCCGGGAACACGTGTAGGGTGGGTCTTATATGGACAAGATGGTATGTCCTACGGACGCGCCAAAGTCAAAACTCGCTGACACGCGGGCGTCGGCAGGTGGAGCGCCTGTCGCCGTGGGACCTGGAGCCGCTGGACCCGGAGCGGCTGCCGGGCGTGGCGGGCGGCGCCGTGGCCGTGCTGCCGCACGAGCTGGAGGCCGCGCTGTACCGCGCCGCGGCCGACGAGTGGCCGCCGCGCGGCGACCGCGCCGCCGCCTGCCGCGCCGCCGCGCAGCACGTGGGCGCCGTCATGTCGCTGGCGGCGGCCGAGCCCTTCGCGGCGCCCGTGGACCTGGCGCGCTACCCGCTGTACGCGCGCGTGGTGCCGTACCCCGTGGACCTGGCCACCATCCGCGCGCGCTTCGAGCACCTGTTCTACCGGCGCGCCGCGGCCGCGCAGTGGGACGCGCGCTGCCTGGCCAGCAACGCCGAGCGCTTCAACCAGCCGCACTCCGCCATCGTGCGCCAGGCGCGCCTCGTCAGCGACCTGCTCCTGCACATCATCGCGCACTGGCGCGACGTGGACGTGCTGGCCAAGTACCACGAGCTGGCCGCCGGCTACCGCAGCTCCGACGACGAGCCGCTGGGCGCGGCGCCGGGCGGGCCGGGCGCGGGCTGGCGCGACGCCTGCGGCCGCGTGCTGGCCGAGCTGCTGGCGTCGGCGGACGCGGAGCCCTTCCGCCAGCCCGTGCTGCCGGGCGCGGCGCCGGACTACGCGCGCGTGGTGGCGGCGCCCATGGACCTGGGCACGGTCCGCTCGCGCCTGCTGGCGGGCGCGTACGGCGGCGCCGACCAGTTCGCGGCCGACGTGCGCCTCGTCTTCTCCAACAGTCGCCTCTACAACACCAACAAGCGCAGCCGGGTGAGTTCGTAGTCTGTCACTGGTACAATGCTTGACTGTTGCATCGGCGGGTTGAGCAATGGCAGTGGAAACTAGGGTACACACACGCTGACACACTCCGCCGCTGGATAACAAGCTGATACTTTTGTCTTTCAAATGTTATGTTAACTACAATAAACGAGTTTCCAATCGGGAGAAAATGACTACATGTTTGGGCCACCACTGTTCATCCCACCGCTGGCGCCGAGTCTGACGTATACAATGCTTTATAATATAACTCTCGCAATCATTGTACGAGTTGTCCGCTGCGAGGGAATGGGTCCGAAACATTTGTCGAAGGCTTGTGTCGACGAGTGATGTTGTCAGTACGAGTGTATCAATACCGCTCCCCCGCAGATATACTCAATGACGGTGCGTCTGTCCGCCTTGTTCGAGGCGCTGTGGACGCGCCAGGGCCCGGGGGCGCGCTCGGGGGCGGGGGCGCGGCGCCCCCAACGCACGGCCCGCGCCCCCCGCGCCGCGCGCCCCGCCCGCTCCACGCGGACGGCGCCCCCATCCAGCGACCAGGACGGTTAGTAACTCATACATACTACACTTTTTTAAGGGGGGGGGGGGGGGGAATCATCGAATGTCTTCTCCCGCTTGGGTGAGACGGGAGGGAGTGTCAGACTCTTACTGACTAAAAACCACCCCGTTTCTTCTCCTGCACTTCGAGCCAGAGCCCGGCAACTCGTTAAGTCCTCCAGTTTTGCTACTCCCGCGTTTACATTGACACGGTATTATGTCAGGGAAAATGTTCCCGAATTCAGAATTATAGGCATACTAGCTTTTACCCGCGACTTCGCTCGCGTCACATAAGAATAAAAAGTAGCTTATGTGACTATCCATCCCTTCAACTACCTTCAGTAAAAAAATCACGTTAATTACTACCTCCGTTTTGCCGTTTAACACAGGCAAACAAACAAATAGCTGTTCGCTCGCGTGGAATTCGGTTACATCGCGCTTTTTAGATTTCTCCGTGGAATGAGAAGTTCTGCCGCGGTAAACCCTTGCTTTTCTAGGACAAACTACCTTCATACCAAATTTCTTCAAAATCCGTTGAGCCGTTAAGGCGTGAAAGAACAACAGACAGAAGGAGTTATTTGCGCATTATCACAAATATCATCCTCCCATTTCCCTCAGAAAAGGCGCTTTAGAGTAACATTGAACGACTTCCTTTATATTTCAGAGCTGATGAACGGTCACTCTGCTGCGGAGACGTCAGCCAGTTCTGCCAGTTCTGCCAGCTCTGCCAGCTCGTCGAACTCGTCGGACTCTGAGTCCGAGACGCTGGCGGCGACATCTCGCCGCGTACACGGCAGACAACGATCTGACTCGTGGGACAGTGATGCTCCGCTACATATGCATCGGAAGGGTCAGCATTATATTACAACACAATACACTACACTACAATACGCTACAATACACTACAATACGCTACAATACACTACACTACAATACATTACACTACAATTCACTACATTACATTGAACTACAATTCACTACATTACATTGAACTACAATACAATACATTGCACTATCAGGCTTACCTATAAGCTATATTGCTGGCGAACGTAATAATATGGTAATTTATGTCTGTCTGTCACAGGTAAAGGTGTCGGCAAGAAGAGTAAGAGTAGCAATGCGAGTGCGGAGCCGGGGCCCTCCACTAGTCGCGCGAGACTCTCCGGTATGTAGCGAGATATTGTACACTGGCTTCTGTCTGCGGCCCCGCGTGATAACAAATAGTCTATGTATTATTATTGAGCATACTCCTGTTCCAAATTTCATCTTGGTCTCATCAGCCAGGAATACTTGGTTCAAGTATTGTTCCGACTGTTTGGGCGTACATTTAGTGTGCTGTGTCGTGGGTACATATGATCTGTATACAATTTAGTTCTTAATGTTATAAATGTTAAAGACATTTATAAGCAGGGGGCTGAATGAGAGTGCGTTATGAAATCCATAACTAGATGTTGACTTGAATGTAATACACATCTGCAGACGAAGACATCGAAGACGAAGAAGAGGACGAAGGCGGCGCGTCGTCGTGGTCGGGGTCCGGGTCGGGCAGCTCGGCGTCGTCGGGGCGCGGCGCGGGGCGGCGGGGGCGCAGCGCGGGCCGGCGGGGGCGCAAGCGGCGGCGCTCGGGGTCGTCGTCGTCGGGCGCGCCGCTGCAGGCGCTGGCGCGGCGCGGGCGGCGCGCGCGCGGCGCGGCGCGGTACAACGAGGACTCGTCGGACGAGGCGGCGGCCGCCATCTCCAAGCGCGCCGGCCGCGCGCCCGCCCGCGCCGCGCTCGACCCGCGCCGCCGCCGCCACGCGCGCTACCTCAACGGACACGCGCTCAACGGACACGGTCAGTGCCGCGCATCATTCAGTTCAAACAAACAAACCATATTCTTTAGCTTTATATAATATTCAGAAAAATGATTGTTACACATTGCAGAATGGTTTAGTATATTTATTAATCAACTTCAAAGAGGGAAGACGGAGCTTGAGTCTCTTATTTTGAACGTACTTTTTAAAAACACTCGCTGCTAGACACTGGTTGCTGGAACTATAAGTATTCAGGTGTTTGTAAATATTAAAATTACAACAGGCCACTACTTAATGAATAGTCTATAAGCCAGCGACAGGTATTTGTGGCCAATTTCTCAGTGGATGACTAGTACAATGCTCGCAGGAGTTGTAACATGAAGTATTGTGTCCGTTAGGTACGGCACTGGTGGTGGGATGAGTCATGGCAACCCATGTCATAATTTTTTTTAGCCATTTCCTCCCGATTGAAAACACGTCTAATTTATAGGTAGCATAGTATCTTAAATGAATTAAAGTGTCAGCTGGTTGTACTCCGGTGGAATTGACAATAAAACACATTTTGATAAAGAATTGCCAGTATAATGGACATTATGTATGTGTTGTACAGACGTGGGCGCCGGCGAGGGCTCCAGTGGGTCGCAGGGCTCGGGCCCCGGCGCGGCGAGCGGGTCCGGGGGCCCGGCGCCCCCGACGGCGCTGTCCATCTCGTCGCGGGGGCGCGTGCGCAAGCTGACGGCCAAGGCCCGGGGCCTGCTGCACGACTGAGCCCGGCGCCGCGCCCGGCCCCGCGCCCGGCCCGCCCCGCGCCCCGCCCCGGGGACTACTGCAAGCGACCTAGACTAACTGTGAGTGGTCTGTCAGAGCTTATTATGTACTAGGAGGACACTGCCGGGCCGCGCTAGTGTAGCGAGCGGGCCAATGTCAACCTTATTTTCATTGTGTTACAGTGTGTTACTGAGTGACACAGACATACATATCGCTTCAGTTCCAGCACTTGTTATACGAAATTCCACCTTAGAACAAAGGAATTGAGCAGTAATTTGTTCCGGGCACAAATGATCAGCTGATCATAATTTTAATTTTGACTACGTACAAATATCTTCCTAATGTCTATCACATTAAGTATGTCAAGCTCGCTGCACTAGTGTTACCCAGCGGAACTGCCAGTAATGTTATATGTAATAATATATCATTTTTGTACTGACTGACTGACTGACTGACAGACTAATAGAAAACTGTAAATATTTAAACTGTAAGTAGTAGTAAGTATGATATTTTTTGAGCTGGAATGTTGCCACAGTTATAAATATTCTTCTGACTTGTCATATTCAATAATAATCGATTGGATTTGTATTCTATTGATTTGATGATCTACATATAACAATGTAGTTGATATATACAGATGATGACGGAGTATGAAAATTAAAAATGTAATTAGTCCGTCAGTTAGGTAATTAAAAAATATTAGACACGTATTTCTTTTATTTTGTCGTATAAGAAAACAATACTTAGATAAACCGAATCAAAGTTTACGAGTGTGACGTAGCTACGTCATTTCTACGTCATATAACGTCCCTAGAAGTGACGTCACGCGGTATTTCAATTCAATATATCGTCGAAAGTATTCGTTTCCGTAAGAAAGTATAAAATACGTGTCTAATGTTAAAATAATGTACCAAATGGACATTGGAATATAAATGAGTACTACATTATTACAATATTTGAATATTTCGATCAAAATCCTTAATTTTGTGTTGTAGTCAATGTTTAGTTGACTACACACTAACTAACTGTAAGTATAGGTTGTGTTAACATTATTTAATAATTTGAACGCCATAGTAATAATGAAACATTAGTCCGGAACCAATAACTTGTACGTATGTCGATAAATTTGGCTACTGACGGCCGAGTATTCAATCACCAGTTAATTCTTTACTGTAGACTAAAATTCACATTTGACAGTTTGTAGTATGGAAGAATTGTCAAATATTCAGTTGTTTCTGTAATAAAATGTATCTGGTGTTGGAAAATCGGTCCTAAGGGATAGAATTTGCTTCTGCACAATATGTCGCGGGCTCAATTCCTGTGTTTGATCTACAATGTTTTTAACACGTTAAACGCCATGGGGGTCACCGGTGACCGGCGTTAGCCTAGGATTTACATTCAACAGTTTTAGAAAAATTAAATTCGTTTTTACTTGAGTTCCATACAGAATGTGAGAAATCTATCTTTTCTATCCGTGGTAGTCAAATATATTGTAAGGGTTAAATTATTTAAACATTTTGGATTTTTCGGGAAATCAGTAATAAGATAGTTTTTCAATTGAAATGATATTATTGAATTAATTTGACCTTCTAGACTTGAAACTGTAATAAAATATACTAGAGTTGCAACCTACTCAATGCAAACAGACAAACCTTTCCTCTTTACAAGTGTAGATGGCGTTCAAAAAGCTCACAGATAATTATTAAGTAGTTATAATGTAAAGTGGTGTAAGCAGAAGTGGTCAGTATAGCATACTGTATGATTGTACCTGTAGACCAGGGGTGTCCAAACTATACACCCTCGCGGGCTAATTAAATTTCTTAGAAAAGCTGGAGGGCCAGAAAAATATTTTCAGTTGTATAATGACGTTTAACATTGTATTCTTTACTTACAGACTAAACTTGCACACAAATTATACACTGAATTTTATTATTGTTGTTGCACATAAAATGAAGATGTTGAGATTAAAGTGTGTGTCGCGGGCGCGGGCTCGCGGGCCACATGAAATCAAGCTGCGGGCCGCATGCGGCCCGCGGGCCTTTGTTTGGACAGCCCTGCTGTAGACAATATGTTATATTTATCATAATATATCATAATATATAATAAGAATAAGTCGCCAGGAGCTACTGTGTACTGTGATATGATAGTGTGTGACGACACACCCCGCCCCTATCATACTCTAGTGTTACCACTTAATTAAATTGACAGTTGATGTTGCCAGCTGGTATATGTACTTAATTGTAAGTTTTGATTCAGCCGCGAGCTAGTAATGTATTGTAAACATCTGATGTTTGTTATACGAGTCTTAATAAGTTCTTTGAGAACGATATCTGAATACAATACTGTGACGTAGGCTGACAACAATCGGCCCTGTGAGTGCGATCAAAATACATGATAAATATGTAACAAAATAATATTGTTTGTATGTAACACGCACAAGGTGTCTCTAGCGACTGTACATCGTGTCCATAGATCTTTGTTTATTTATTGTTGGCAACACCACCGGCCATAGACGCTCGTGTACAGTGTTGCCATCGTTGTGTGTATGCAGTGGTGTTGCCAGTATGAATATATTAATTAATTGAATTAGTAGTAAGTAGGTGAATAGTGTGTACTGTAAGTATGACAATTTTGTAATGAACAGCGAATTAAAGTGATGTCATTTTGTATCTGTTGACTTTGTACCGATGTGTGTGTGTATGTATGTATGTATATTGTATATAGTGAGTCTGTGAGACGCGCATGCGCGGTTGATACCAAACTGAAACAGAATAAAAAGATAATTTTGTAAGATATCTGTTGTGTTTTATTTTTGTGTCCTCTGTATTATCATCGGCGACTCCTGGGTATCGCCTTATCATCATCGGCGACTTCATCTTCTTATTGATGATTGTAGCATGAATTGGACTGTTTTATTATTCTCATACATTTTAAATACTACCTAACCTACAAAAATATATATAAAAATAGGAGCCGACCAGTAGCGGGATCATGGTCCAAGCTACCAGTGGTTAGTGCTTCAGAGACGGAAACCTCTGCCTCTGCCGTGTCAAGGAGAACTGCCTTCTGTATCAGGCCCTTGATCCATCCACCTAACGCCAGCCTCCTGAGATGAATGGTAATAATCCTATTAATCGTTTGCCTCCTATTCCATAAAAAAGACTATCCACCACACAACATAATCCTTCCACGCCGGTTCCGGCCACAGCGACCGTCTCATGGCTACCTGCGTCTTCATGGGCTCATGTGGCTGGCAAATGAAATAGCTCCAACACAAAAATAATTACTTATTAGGTATGTTTTCGGCTTACTCACGTAATTATTGTTTGCCGAGGAACTCGACATCCTAGAGTCTCAAGCCATGCTACAGGCTCATATTCCTGAGCCGAGTTCCTCGTCAGACAGTTACGCGATTAAGCCGAAAACATAAAAAATAATTCGTATATCTCACGAACGTTAATAATAATATAAAATTCCATCATGTCGGTATCTCAAAATGGATGTAGGGAGGGGTCTCGTGGAACTAAGGAGCTACTCCTCATTGATATGGTTGTTAGCCAACAGGTTCGTCGGTCCCGGAAAGATTTGTCTACATGCTGGATAGACTATAAAAAAGCATATGATTCTGTGCCACATACATGGCTCCTGAAGGTGCTGGAGTTGTATAAAATACATGCAAGTTTACGCGCCTTCTTGGAGTCATGTATGAGGCAGTGGAGCACCGTGTTATGCTATCCGGGATGTAGACAAATCCAAGGGAATGAAGAACCTGTAAGGATAGTACGAGGAATATTCCAGGGGACAGCCTGAGCCCACTATGGTTCTGCTTGGCCTTGAATCCTCTAAGTACTCTACTGGAGGATTCAGGGCTAGGCTATCCTTTGCGGAGAAGGGGTCTAGTTATATCCCACTTACTTTACATGGATGACCTCAAGTTGTTTGCTCCAAACAAGAAACAACTGATGGAACTACTGAATATAACTGAAAAATTTAGTAGTTCCATCAGAATGGAGTTTGGAGTAGACAAGTGTGCGGTCATGCATGTAAAGCGAGGAGGGATTGTGGAATCTGAGGGACTAGAACTCTCAGATTTCACAAAACTGAGATCACTCTCCGCAAACGATACATACAAATACCTGGGTATATCAGAAGGATTAGGCATTAATGAACCGGACATGAAGCAATCGTTACAGGAGCGCTTCTTTGGCCGCCTGAATAAGGTACTCAAAAGTTCCTTATCAGGCGGAAACAAGGTGCGAGCCTTTAACGGTTGGGTCATGCCAGTCCTAATGTATTCTTTTGGTATACTCAAGTGGACACAGACTGAACTTGACACCCTGGATAGACGAGTCCGGACCCTGCTGACTGCAAATCGCATGCATCACCCTCGTTCGTCGGTCATGAGGTTGTACATCCCGCGGAAGTGTGGTGGTCGAGGCTTATTAAATGCTAAGACCCTTCACAACCGTGAGGTGTGCAGCCTCAGGGAATATTTCCTGAAAGTCAACGAGGGTATGCATCGCGAAGTAGCGGTGGACAATGGATTCACTCCACTATCCTTGGCAAAAGAGAACTGGCGCAAACCTGTTGTACTGAGCGTCAATGATCGCAAGGAGATATGGCATAGCAAGGAGCTCCACGGACGCTTCTTCCGGGCCCTTCATGGGCCTGGTGTAGATTTTCTAGCGTCCGTGTCTTGGCTACGATTCAGTAATCTCTTTGGGGAAACTGAAGGATTTGTCTGTGCAATAATGGACGAAGTTATCCTTACGAATAACTACCGGAAATATATATATATTTTTTTTTTCTTTCTTCTTTGGCAACCGAGTCTCCAATACGATGTTGTCGACTATACTGCCAGTGTCAGGTGGTGACGGCAGATTAATGAGCCGTCGAAGTTAACTTTGCGGTAGTTTTTAGTAGTTAGTAGCTGAAAGGACAAAACAATTGGGTTAGTAAACATATAAATATTAACAACTATTTTACTGTATGAGTACAGG